GTCTGTCGTTGTTTATATGGAGGTTCATCGAATCCTTAGTTTGTTGGCTATTCCTTATAAGGTTATTTGTGAAGGAATTGACACAAAGTGGTTGCTGTACCCAGGTGGAAAATAGGATTTATAATTTTTGTAGTGGTTGAAGCCAGAAAAACTGCCTCGCAAGAGCTTTACAAGCTTAAGTCTTGGAACTGCTATCTATGCTGTTCATGAATCTATGTAGCCACCAACCGTGTCTTAAATCTTCCGGAATACTGCGGTTAACTTGATCTGATAAATCTGGTTAACAATTGTTTCCCTAATTAAAAACTACGTGTCACATTGAATTGAAGAATCCCCAGCAATAAATGAAATATGAGCAACTGTTAAAGTACACAAATCAGGATTACTGTGTTTACACTAGTCGATCACCCAGCACAGTAAATAAACAACACGTGCACGCACATGGCTTGTTTGGGAATAACGCTCATCAGGACCCCGATGTGTGACCACCGTTTCGAACGGTGAAAATAGCAGGTGGGTTTGCTTGACAGGCCACACATCTCCAATGGGAAACTTGTAAATAACGTTTCCGCAAACATCGTCGCATTTTTTGGGAGGAAGGTGAATTCATCTCAAGCAGTTCTAACTACAACGTAGGCTCTATTAATTAGGCGCTTACATGCGCAATAAATAATTTTAAAAGGATCATCCTGGACAACGGTGCAACTGTGAAGCGTTTTGCACCTCATTCTTTCTGTTTGTGTCNGTTTGCAGCAACCTTGTGAGTAGTTTCCTCCATGAAAAAAACACTGACAGTTCGTTTATGAAGCCCAGAATACCACTGGTTGATATTTGTATGGTAGATTTGACCACAATTAAAGAGCTAAACAAAACGCCACAAAAATAAGCACTTAAATATAAGTACAATATATAGCGCAGTTATTGGACTTCCAGAATGATTATTTCAGATTGTTCCTGTGGATTGTTACTTGGTGACAAATGTTCCCACTGAAAAACTTGTAATAAGCAATAAAATAAAATTGCTTTTTGAGGGGATTAAGAGACGTCATGTAGTTTCGAAACGCTTAAAGCCATCCACATCTCGCAGGCCGCATTCATTATTCCTACTGCTTACACTGCCACATTCAGTACCGTGTTACGTATTCTACATGCCGTCAGTATCTCGGCTGTATTTGATTTGGTGGCAGTAGACAGCTAAATAATACACAGGAAAACTTAGTGAGATCAAGTATTTCCCTCGAAACACTGGCACATGTTTGAAATTCGCTATAGTTCTATGTATTCTCCATATAAAATAGTTATGTTTGGTTGAATCTTACGGTTATCGGTTTGATTAAGTATAATGGTGTTCACCAGGAGAGCACTCCTGAATTAAAGATGCCCTCAAAAACAAAACAAACAATCTCCAATCATCATTATGGAAAGTCAAGCCTGCGCACGGAAAGCGCCATTTGAGAAATGGGTGATCTAACTGTCTGTGTTGGACTTTTTCCTGGGAGTGCGAAGAAAGCTGGTGGTTTATGTGGATT